AAGTCTGTGCTGAGGCATTTACCTGTCCTTAGCTGGACTGCCTGGCTGGGTCTGAATATCCTTTTTTCATACCTTAATCTTTTTAACACTTTCTGGATTTGGATGTAGAAGGTGTAAAGAGAAAAGGATGGTGGGGGGAAGGCAGTAGTGGTCACGTACTACGCCTCCCAAGGCTGTCCTCTCCAGATGAAGCCATGGATCTGGCAGGCTCCAGACATCCTGCATCCTGCCATCTGCCACAACTGGTTGAGTTAGAACAGTTTGTCCATTGCTCTGGCTTATTTTGAAACATACTGACGTGTTTAGGGGATAATTTGCATAAAGTGACATCCGTGTGCAAAACCTGGTAACTCCAAGCCAGATGCTTTTCAAAATTATTTACATATCTGCTGAATAATTTTGGCAAGGGAAATTCTGCGCAACCCACTTGTAAATAACTCGTGACGGTATTTTTTATTGCGAATTTGAACTACCTGGATTAGAAAGAAATAAAATCCTGCTGTTCTCCTCCTTGAGAGGGTGAGGCATACCTCTTCTTAATAGCAAGCAAAAGATGAAAGATGCTGTTGCTTTTTTTGCAACCATTTTAAGACTGTTCTTTGCAACTGTCCACAGCATCTCTGTCTTGTTGGTGGTGAATTCATGATTCCACATCCCTGACTTCAAAAATGCAATCATATTAATGTTAATAATTCATCTTGGGAAAGAACACTGCAATAGCTATGGAAACGCTTTTTGCAATGTACTGCCTTGGTAATTTTATTATCACTCTAAATACCTACATTTTTTCTGAGTAAATATAATTAGAAGTATGTCATGGAGTCTTGTTACATAAAAATCGACTGTTTTTTTTTTCCTTCTATTCTACATTGAAAGCTTTTTTCTCTTCTTACACCTCATTGTTTTCTCTTGCATGTGCAAGAAAGATTTGGCAAATGTATGTCTGAGGATGACTTGCACAGGAATCTTCACTGCCTTTAGAGTCCAACGACGACCTGCTGGACCATAAAAAACCACCAAAACGTGCCTGCAGGTGAGCAGTGCTTTATAATGTGACTAGGAATAATTTAGTAGTTAACATTTTCTGTACAATTTTCATTGGCATGTGGGCAGCCCACTTCTGGTACTGAAACTGGTGAGGACACTGGGCCCACATATCTCTAAAAGATGAGATTATTGTGGTGGGGCAGAATGTTTTAATGATCAGCAAATACTAACTGTTGTTAAACCACATTCTACACTGCTTCTGTCTTAAGGCAGTAAAATTTTCTCTGAGGTGTGTGTGAAATCCCATTCGGTTGGATATGCATTGCAAAAACTACCATTGTGTTTCAAACCTCTTTGAGTCATTGTAAGAACATAAAATCTGTTACCTGTATTAACACAGGCAGGGATTTCAACAGGGGAGGTGAGAGAATAATGCACAGAGCATCTCGTTCCAGTCCTTGCAGCTCAAGGCTTATAAGGCATCTGTTAAATGTTGGATGGAGATATGAATGCTTTGGAAATTATCTTTTTTTTTTTTTTCGTTTTCCAGACTCCATCATCCTAAATTTCCTGGAGACATGTTCTGTTTGTCCTGATAGCAGAATTTCAAAGAATGATTGACTGATTCTCTTATTAAAGTCTATGCCCAAGAGGAAAAAGCTGCTCAGTCTTTTGTCTGTCAGAATTTTTTCATTGCCTTCCATGTGTCTTTGTTAATGTAACTGCTCATATTAATTACGAACTGTAGCTTTATTTCAAATAGTGTTTTTTTGAAGGTTTTGCAAGGATGTGTGTTTGTACTGTAGTACTAATGTAGGATCTTAATGTATGTTCTAGTTTCTTCCTGCTGTTCAGCTGTGACCTGGGCTGTGTTAAGCAGAGTGAAGCTGGCACCCGTCCCACCCTTCCCCTCTGTTCAGGGCTTGCAAGATGTGGAGTACAGTTTCCACTTGAGAAGTGGGATTGAGCCAGGGGAGTGTAGAAGTCAGTCCCTGTTGGAACTCAAAATGTTTCAGACATTTTTGGAGGTTCTGGGCCCAGGTCAGAAGCATTTGAGACCCTGGCAGGCAGCTGGAAACAGCTGTGATTTTGGGTTTGAACCATGGAATGATTGACCAACCTTGCAGGGAGAACAAGAAGTCACAAAAGTTTAGATATTAGAGTAAAAGTAGTCACAAAGTAAAGGGAAGAATTTTTGAGTGCTGTACAGGGGGGTTTTAGTTTTGTACATGGGGGTCAGAGGTTTTAAGATGGAGGGATTTGGGCCTGGCCTGTCCTCCCTCTTTCTCCTTCCTCACCTCCGTGTTCTTGGTGATGTTGGCACTCACAGATTGGTTTAGAGTAGAAAGGCACCATTTAATATAGGTAATAGGTATTGGGGAAAAACTGTAACCATGTAACACGGAATGTACCATATAAAAGATAGAAAAGAACCATTTAATATAGGTAATGGGCATTGGGGAAAAACTGTAGCCATGTAACACGTAATGTACCATATGAAAGAGAGCAGCAGCCCTGGGCAGGGAGAGAAGAAGCAGTTGGGGTCAGAGAGGATGTCAGGGTGTGTGTGTGCCTCTGCCTGAGCTGTGAGCAAACCACAGCAGCCCAAGAAGAAAATCTTTTAGATAATTTGCAATAAACTGCCTTGAGACCAAACAACAGAGACTGCTGAGCCTTTCTTTGGAAGCACGGGCTGGAGGAGAGACTTTGCCACCACACGGAGCCACCCCCGACCCAGGGTGAGCTCCGGCAACTCCCTGTGCCAAGGCTGAGCCTTCAGCCTAGAGAAGAGCAAGTTCTGGGGATACCTGAGGGGCAGCTGAAAGGTGGGCACAGACATTTTAGGGTTGCACATTGTGATGGGACAAGGGTGATGGTTTCAGACTGAAAGAGGACAATTCAGGTTAGATATAAATAAGGAGGTTTTTGCAATGAGGGTGGTGAAACACAGAAGCAAGAAGATGGGGCTCTGAGCAACCTGGTCTAGGGGATGTTGGACTTGCCAACCCAAACCACTCCACGATAAGTGATGGGTTTGGGACTCTGTCATTGTACAAAGTGGTTTGAAATATTGTAGTTCTAAAACTTAAACTCAGAGCTCTCCCAACAAGGATAACTGGGGTTTGTTGCCTTTCTTTCCTGGATGGCATGGAGCAGGATAGCTGATTGTACTTTCCAGCTGAATATTACCCTGAACTGGGGCATCTTGGAGTGGTTTGGGGCTGTCAGGATCATGCTAAGAGTGCACTTCAATCTGTTAAACTCAATGCCTTGGGGACTTTAATCAGCTGTGTTGGGTCAGACAAGGCCTCGTGGCTGGTCCAAAACATCTGGAAGAAATTACAAACCCTTTCTAAATCTTTCTTGTGGTGTTTATTTTTTGTTTGTCTTTTTTACTATTCTCTTCCATTTACTCGATTAATTGGGGCCTAATCTTTGAAAGCAGATTAGTTTTATTAAAATGAATTAATAATACACTTCCTTGTTGCTATGTTTTAAAGAGTCTGATTTATAGAAATGAAAGAATCATTTGGTTCTAAACATGGATAGCTTAAAAATTGGTGTGGGTGACTGATTCTCTTGTAGCAATATTATGTCAAAACATGAGTTGAAGAAAGCACAAATAATGTAAAGTGTTGACTGCATCTTGTAAAACTCTTCTGGTGAAACCCTGGCATCTTTTTTGGTGCAAGCTTAGTTTAGCTTAATGTTCTGTGCTCTGAAAGGCAAAGATGTTCAAGATGACTAACTTACTAAATAGCACATCCTGTTGTGCTGGATCTGCCAGGGAAGAGTCAAACATGGCAAAAACATTCACCAGCATCTTGCAAAAGATGTTTAGTGAATGAAATATACAGGCAACTTCTGAAACTCCCAGAAAGAATATCCACAACATAAACAACCTCACTAAATTGCTAACAGCTACTTCTGAAAGATGTAGCTGTTAGCAATTTGGCACTTTGAAGAGGGTACATAAATCAAAGTTTCATCAAGCAAAATAAGTTTAAAAAGAGGAATTTTGAAATATTCCAATTCTTTCAAATATTGCTTCATGTGTTTGGTAACTGCTTTGAAAATTCTGTGGCTAGTAAAGGAGACGTAGCCATTAAACTCCAAACAAAACTGTGTTATTAAAATTCCTGCTTCTATTAATAGCAAACCTACAGTGCAACTGAAAGAATTCATACTTAAATGATTTACAAAACATTAGTAAATGCACCTTGAGTTGTACTTTTTCAAGAACACTTTATATACTATTAATTATGCAGATGGAATACTAATGCTTTATAAGCAATATATGTCTACTGATTAGTTACTAAAATAAACCTCAACAGTTTGGGGGGAAATACTGTCTAATAATAAGCCAAAACTTTTAGAACATAAATATAAAAAAAAAATAGTTGTTTTTTTTTTTTTTTAACTTGAGAATTTGTCTACTACATGCATGATATCTGTAGTGGCACAAAGGAAATTCAAGAGCCTGTGGAAATTTACTCGATTAATGAAAGTCAAATTAGAACAATGTTTTGTAAAACAAGCTATGTTTGGTGGAGTGGGACCTGTCCTGAGAGAGACTGGAAATAAGACTGTTTTAAAATTTGTTCCTTTGCTTAATTTTGAATAACATTTTTTTAGCTTCCCTAGCTCCTGCTCTTAATAGGCAGCAGTGTAGATTATCAGAGGTGAGGCTGTTACATTAATATCCTGTGGCAGTGTGTGGATTTAAAAGATGGAGTACATTGTTAACTGCTTAGAAGTTTCTCTCAAAAGACAGATTTTGCTTCAAGTTATTGTACCAGTTGTAAGGAAGTTTGGTGCAAGAGAAGAACTAGCAAGGAGAGTAAATTTTCTACCTACACTCCAGCAGCTTTCATGCTTTTTTTATTATTTATACCCCATGAATATTCTAATGGAAGTAAAGCCTGGTTATGAACATCTGGGTGGGAAAGGGAGATGTTAGAGAAAACATTATTTTATACTCTGTCTCATGATTGTAACTATTCAAAGGACAATGTTTCCACCTAGAATGGGTTTCAATAAAAATTTAAAACTAGGCTAAATAATAAGTAAATATTAACACAGAGGTAATAATCAGATTGCAAATAAATCCTGACAGTTTCTTTTTTGTTGTAAAAAAAGAAGATAAAGGAGTTTGAAAGTGTGATCAGGGTGTCTGGTCTAACATTTTCCAACAGCACCATTGACACAGTTTCCATCAGGAGAGTTTGTTTGCTGCGGAGAAGCTGTACAAAAATAAATCCTCGGGAAGAGCAGATATTTTTTCTGGGTGTGCTGCGAGTGTAGTGTGGCTGTGCTGGTGTTTAGCTTAGGACAGGCACAGTTTATCTCATCAGCCCCTTCTCATCTCTCTGTTTCTGGGTCAGAGCCCGCGCGCCGATGCGGCGCCCGTGGCGCGCGGTGCTCGCTCACCCGAGGAGGATGAGCTGCTGGAAATGCCACCCCGGGGTGGCAGAGCCAAAGGCAAGCTCAGGGAAAGCTGAGCCCTTGCTGCCCTCAGGTACAGCTGGGGCATTTCAAATCAGGGCATTCGAGACTTTTAGGAGTGCTGAGTGATGCAGTCTGTGTGAGTAAAATGTCAGTTCTCCATATCCCGTTTTCCTAAGGGCCAGAGCTGCTGTGACTAATGCCACACGAAATGAACCCGGTTTGGGGTTTGAAAATCTTTATGCCTTTAAACCCACGTTTGAGACTCGTGCACATCATTTTTCCAGTCCTGCACATCATTGTTTCCAGTCCTGCAAGAGATATGGGTGCGCTGAAAATACTGCTCCAGGGTCCTGATTTACAAACATTTCTTTGCTTGAAGGTAAGGGATTTGATCAGATAAAGCCCAAATGGTCCCTTTCAACCTTGAAATTATTCTCTGATTTTTGCTGTTGGTTGGATATGTTAACTGGAGGAAATGCTGGCTGTAATAATCTGTAGCATTTCAGGGACTTCTTATATGTTTTCTGAGAGTCATTTAACATCTATCAGCAAGCACAAATGACTTACCAGGGCCTTTTATCCACTAATGCAAAATATTTCTTTGAGAATTCTAAAGCCAGTTCAAAATAAACTCAAACCAGTTCTGCCATGGATCATCATCTCAGGTCATTAGCTTGCTTAATTATGGGCTTCATGCAGAACTCTGCAGCTTTCTCTAATGCTTTTGCACCACCTGTGAGCATCCAGAAATTACTCATGAATGACTGTTCATCCAGCAGCAAGGCAGATTTGGAAAAGGGCTTTTTCAAAATGATCACATCCTTTGTTTGAGGATAGAAAGAGGCATATGGCTTTCTGCATTATTCTGCACTGCACTGTTTTAATTTCTGTGTCAGATGAGTCCGGGAGGGCTGTCATGAGCAGCTGTGCTGTGCCAGCCAGTCCCTCGCTGAGCTGCTCTGGGGTGCCAGGGCACTGCCTGGTGAGAAGCGCTGGGCAGGAGGAGCTGTGCCCCCCGCTCCTCTCCGTGCTGGGCACCAGGGCCTCTGCTTTCACCCACTGCCCCATCCTGCTGGCTCTGGGCATTAGGCTGCCATGCCCAGCCCCTGGGGAAACCTCCAGCAGCAATGTTTGGTTGTGGGAATCCAGGGCTTCCCTCTGGCTGCCCTGGCAGGTCTGGGACCCTGGCAGGGGTCAGGAACCCCCCTGGACAGAGCC